CAAGCTATGAAAAACTTGTGTTTGATGTTGCTTTGCAAAAACATACCCCTTTGAAGGAAGCACATTAGATGCATCTCTCTATCACATCTGAGGATGGAATGATAGGTATTAAAGCACAGAGGAACTGAGAAATGATATTAGGAAGATTGCACACTCTCTTGTCCTCTATTCCCTCTCCATTAAGCGTGTTCAACCACAATGAGAAAACACACAAACATGCTAAAACACTCTTGTGAAGTCCTCAGAGGAATATTGTGTTGCTCACAACTCTTAGACTTAAGAGTATGTCTTAAATGAATCATACTTTAACAATAAATATGAGCTTATCTCAGATGTTTCTTCTAACCATTCTAAGGGGAAATAAAAATGGAATTCTTCAATTAGAGGAACTTATCCCCTTACTGTATGTTTTCAAATAATAAAAAAAAATCCTCCATTTTCTATAGTTTTAAAGCATGTTCGTTCTTTAATGTGATTGTTTACTTTTACTTAATTTTTGATATGTTTTAGCCTACCTCAAGGGCATCCAAGATTAGGTGTCTTTGTTTCTGCAGTACAGTAGTTTCAATTTTGATATTTTTAGGTCAACCCTTTCTTGTCTGTCAGTAATACAGTATAATTCAGGTCTATGGTCACCACCTCAAAGAGCATGCACAGAGAAGTCCAAATTAAACATGATTTAAAGACATGAATTTCAAAGTGAACTATCCCTTTAATTGTCTGAAAATATATCACACTTTTTTGACTAGTACTTTTTATCTTAATTTTAAAAGTGGTTTTACAATGTTTAAATCTGATAAATCTCAGTTCGTACTTTTAAAATTTCATATTTGTTGTTTCAAATTTCCATTTCCCCAATACTGTTATCGGTAAGGACAGAATAGGTACAGTTTGAGAATCACGAATGTCATTACTGTAATATTTTATATACCGATCTGAGAGAAATGCCATACTCTCTCCTAACACTCAAGACGAACGTGTGAGTCAATTTCTACAGCAAAATGAGACACAATTGAGATATTAAAGAGATATCTTCTGTGTTTTTTCAGCTTGACTATATCACATACAGGACTAAATTCAGCTTCCAATATATGGCTCCTAATAATATGATCATTAACATCCATCAAGTTAATTAAGCCCGACTGCATACAACAGATGTAGAGTTGATATAGCCTATACACACATCGCACACACACCGCTGTCTGACCTAAAAGAGAGGGATACAATTCTTAAAAGGTCAGTGCTTAAAAGCCAAGTGTAATGCACCCTCCTGACCCTGAAGCAGTCTGTCAGTGAATAAAGGAGGATAAGAGAGGAGGAATGGAAAGGCAGCTCTTTATGGCTTGTTCAGATCAATACTGTCTTTTCTTTACCTGACCTGCTTGTATTCCTTTTCACTTGTTTATTTTATCTGTTTCATCTTACTCGTAGTCACCTCTGACTTTAATGTTTGGTTGTTGTTGTTAGTGACCCCGTCCATTAAGAACCTCTCAGTCATCGTCTTTCTTTTCTCAGTACAACTGTCATTGGCTCGCTGGAAGAAGGTGTGAGACAAGGAAGAGAGAGTGAGAAATCCGTTCATCATACAATTTAGGACTAAACCGCTCAATTGGATTATTTTTATGATCTCTTTATGAAATATTTGAAGTACCAAAGTGGTAGTAGCTGTCAAAGGAAGGACAGAAAGTTATCAGATGTCATCAAAGAGATTAAATTTTTGTGCCGAAGACGAATGAAAGTCTTGCAGATTTGGAACGACATGAGGGTAATTAATGACAGAATTAAAATTTTTGTGTAAACTGTCCTTTTAAGACACTTAGGTGAACATGTATTCATATCCCAATGACAATATTCCAATTAAAAATATATATATTTTTAGAGTCACCAGGACCCATTTCTCTTCTTTTGTTAGAAAAAAAATTCACATGGTGAGTGTAAGAGCAGTAATAAATACGGTGGATCATTTCCCACATTTTTCTTGATATTTTTAATTTAAAATAGCGTTTACTGTACAATATCTCCAAAAACTAGTAACTAAAATGTAAGTAAAATGTAAAATTGTAATTGCACATTTTTATTTTATTCTGTGTTTTATTTTGAATATTTCTCAAGCGAAGGATCGAAGTTCAGATGCAAAAGCCTCTAAGTGACATTTGAAATTTTCTTCTAGAATGATCATTTTTATCAAGCTTGTATATTTAAGTTCAGTGATTTCACTTAAATGGCAATGATAATTACCTATTAATTGTTATTTAAGTGAAATTACTGAACTTAAATATACAAGTTTGATAAAAATCATCATTAAAGAAGAAAATTTCAAATGGCATTTAGAGGCTTTTGCATCTGAACTCTTCATATATTTAAATTTGAGAGAGCCTGTTTTGCGACATATAATCATTGTTCAGAGAACTGTCTTTGTCCCTGCTGTCGCTGTGTTAATGCTCTGCTAGCATGTCTCAGTGTCTCGTGAAGGCATCTGCGTTTAACCCTCTTCAGAGGCTTATAATTCTATTATAATCTGCTGTGGTGCCTTAACAGCGATCTGACACCCCTGAGGCTGTTAATTTGAATGCGTGAGAGAAATGAATGGGTGCAGCCTGAGCCCCCCACACACAATGCTCCATATGGAGACCCGACGGAGAGGAGGGAAAAGAAAGACACAGATGACCAGAGAGTGACACACTCAGTGATTCACACAGGGTCGTAGCGAGCAGCTCCTTGAGGCATGTATATTTTTGGGGTGAAGACGTCTGAGATGGAGAAGGCCTGGAATTAGACCAAACATACACGCATAATAATTCACATTCTGCTTTTTTAACGATAATATTCAAAGACACTTATTGCAAACACACACTCTTCTGCAGGCTCAGCAGGCGGTCGTCCTGGCACCGCTCCACCTGTGTGTCTCCAGCCGGGGAGGGAGGGTTGTAAGACAGCTGCCCTCTCTACCACGGCCAGCCTCCTCCTACCGGGTATCAGTCATGGCAACATCGCTCGCTCTCTTTCATTCTGAGCTTCTCCACGTGGCGCATTCACTCTAAACGTACTCTTCCTTTCTCTTCCACACGGACGTCACATAGAGTTATCACCAAGGCAACAACTGGTGTAAGTGCACGAGCCTCTTTGAGCTGGTTTGTTCTGTTCACGGCCCACGCCCTGAGCCCCCACACTCGTACTCACTACAATCAATCAGCGAGTGAGTTTCAGCTCTCATAATAAACTCATAGTTCAGCACAGCAGCAGATTCAATATATTTAAAAAATACATGGAGGAAGCTATCGGTGTATAATTCATGCATTAAATGCATTCAATTATGATGTTAATAAAAAATGCTGTTAAATAAACCTGCAAATATGGTATCCACAAGAATTAAATGTTAAAATATTAAATTTCAGATCAACATTGATTATAAGCAGCAAATCAGCATATTAGTGTAGGCTAACAAATGGACAGAAATTGAGATATTTTTTACTATTGATTCTGTGCTGCATCTCTCAAATCTACTTTGTGTTTACGTACATGTTCACTCTTGCAACATGAAGGCGCAAGTTGATGTCAGTGATGGCAGATTCCATGTAATTGAATCAAATATCATGTTGCACCAATTCTGAAAATAATATGTATTATGTTGTAATCCCTGGATTAATATTTCACAATTATTCTTATAATCTAATGCATTTACTCAATTCACAGTAATTTATTGTCTATTTGCACATCCTGTTCATTTGATCAAGAAAAGTTCTGCTTGAGCAATCCATGCGAGTACCTGATATATTCACCAACTGATCTTTAGCGCTCTCTAGTGTTCATCATCAAATATGACATCTTTCTCTGGTCCAGTTTTGATCATAAGCCAACAAATACATTTGTGCCAATGTGGGAACCAAGACCTCAAATATGCATATGTTTATATTATGCTCTTTAAAGTGTATATACGGTGCATGATGTGTGGTTTATACTGGCTTGTTCCACTGGATGGCAGTCTTTTCAAATGATCTAATTTGCCAACAAAATCAAAATTAAGCATAAAAATGTAACGTTTCAGTGCATTCTCGTGCATCGAAGACAGAATAAAGCTGTGTTTGTGTGTTTATGTATTTTTGTTAATATAAACTCAATAAGAATGTGTGCGTCTGTGAGTATTGCATGTTTGCCCACAGGCTCATGCTTAATGAAGCCACATAGCTAGTATCCTGTTGCTATGGCAACCTTCAGTCACTGAGGCCAAAGTGTTTTGTGGAGAGACAGACACTCCATCACTCAGAAGACAGACATAGTGCATCATCTCCAACTCAAAGCATGATGATGATGATGATGTAATCATCATGGGCAGAATATTACTATCCTACATGGTTCACGTGGAGCTGATCTGACATAAGCACACAGTAAATATGAAACACACAGGTGTGGCTCTATGCTTCAACGGCCTCCCATGCTTGTTTTACGCCCATTTGGAGTGGTGCCTGCAGTCATGGGATTTAACCATTTGAGTGTGGGACAGGAGATGGACACATACTTGTCTGTCTCTCCGCAAATTCAAAGCTACAGTGACCTTTTTCTTTTATGTACCGCACATTTATCTTTATTTTTGCTGGTAAATTTAACCATAACCCATTTTTTCCCCAGCAGTGCTGACTTTTGACTTCCCCCAGTAATATTACAGCACTGGTACAGTCCCTGTTTTCATTTGAATAGAGATATTATCTTAGAAGTTGTGTTTCCAAACCTGTTCCTTGGGTAATCAAATTCATTTTAATAATAGACGTAATCATAATTTTCAACATAATATAGGCTAGCATATGCACTCTATTGATCGAGATATTGGCTTGTAGTTCTTTACTCTTGCATTTCGCAAATGTATAGTTTTTGATTTATATTTGATTTTGATTTATTTTTTATATGGTAGGTGGCGCTATTACGCATCATCTAAATAAGTACAGAATCTACACACGGATAAGACACAAATGAAGAAGAAATAAATGGATTGCTTATGCACATGTACGATCATTAAACATGAACAGCATAAATCAAAACTGCCTAACATTAGCCTACTGAATGAAATGGCGACCCAGGAAAGGTAAATAAAGAATTTTGCTCTAATCTTTCTTTTGATATTCTGTGTGCTACAACTACTCTGGGGGACTTGAAAATACAGACCATTTTGCAAGATGTAAACAACACTGGTCCAAAAGTACTTCCTGTTTCAGTTTTTTAACACTACATAAAAGCTTGGATAAAATACAACCAACAGAACATATAAAACTGAATCAAAAAGTTAAACAAACATCTTTAAGATGTTTTCTTCACATGTGAAAAAAAGAAAACGGTTACAAACTGAAACAGGAAGTGTTCCTGGACCAGTGTTGTTTACATCTTGGTCTATTGTGCAAATTATTTTAAAAAGATGGTGCCGTGGCCTGTTCTGCAGAAAGAATTAAAGTAGCCTACAGTTAAATGTTTATTTCAAGTATAAAAGTTACTAGTTGTGTACACAAAGTTTGCCTATACTTAAAAAATAGGCCTATACTTTTATTTACTAAAGAAAGTGGGTCAATTTAGTCCCAAGTAGTATTGAAAAAGTACACTTTACACTGCAAGTGCATTGATATAAGTATACTACATACTACATAAAATACTTAACTATAATAAAATGAACTTATATTTGTAAGGGTATATAAGTCACTCCCCATCATGGCTAAACACTTTAAAGGGGACATGACCCGTTCACAAGATGTATTATAGTCTCCAGAATATGTCTGTGAAATTTCAGCTCAATACCCCACAGATTATTTATAGTGTGTCCAGTTTTCCCTTACAGCGTTTAGGTGGCCTGCCTACGCTAACTTTGAAATAGGTTTCAAAGTGCAAGTTTTAAAAGTGATAGGGTACTGCTGTTATCATCTCCGTGTAAACTTCAATAAACGTGAATCTGTGAAAACGGTGACGGCATGCACATGTGTATTACATTTTTAATCTATATGCATGCCATGCATAACCTTCAATGTGTCCGGGCACGTTGTCTTTCTACAAGTGACATTGGCAATTACTTGTCTGGCATGCATATTACTGCATTTTAGTAATTTCCGCGGGGAATAATTTTGATTATTTGATTTGAATTTTGACGTTGTCATCGGTACATCTGTAACAAAAAACTTTGTTGTGTCGATGAGGCCTTCGCATGGGATAGTCTAGACTAGTTGACACGGTCTCAAAAGACACTACTGGGCTGCGCTGTGGTTGTGTTTAGACGAAGGTCCTTCATCTGATCTGGATACGGGCCAGGTACGACTGACTATGGTAAACCTCGGGATAAACAGAGAGACTAATATTAGCGTAGATGCCATTCTTCCTATGATGTAACGTACATCTGGTGTTATGGGAAGTGTTCCCGGTTTTGGCTGACCTAATTTATGCAGCCTATTATTTCACATGATTTGAATTATAGACTTTGCACATTGGTAATGTGTTATGTGTATGCCAGGTGAAAGAGATGTGTTTTAGTCTGATTTTAAACTGACAGAGTGTGTCTGCTTCCTGAGTTTAGTTCTAAATAGGAAAAGGATCTACCGCCAGCAGTTGATTCTAATATCAACTGGACTGAATTTTGAGATTAAAATTAGAAGGACTATAATACGTTACGCTCACTCAAGAGCTAGGGAGCTAAACCATTTAATGCTTTGTAAGTAATTAGCAAGATTTTTTAAATACGATAATTAATAGTGTTGACAGAACAGGGCTAAAATGGTCATACTACCTGAAACTTGAAAGTTTTCAGTACGTTATTGACAAAGATGAATTCTGACCCTGGACCACAAAACCACGTAATAAATAAGCTTTCTGTTGATGTATGGTTTGTTAGCATATGACAATATTTGGCTGAGATACAACTATTTGAAAATCTGGAATCTGAGGTAGGGCTGTCAAACGATTAATCACGAGTTTGCGTTTACATAATATATGTGGGTGCACTGTGTATAATTATTTTGTGTATATTTATAATAATTAGTAAGTAAATAATTAGTTAGTAAATAATTACTAACAAGCACATTTGGAAAGGCGATTTTCAATCAAGCAAGATCACGAACATTAGGTACTGATCCATCCTTGAGTAACAACTTTTTAGCTAAACTTGCTTTGTATTGACCCTAGGCCTTGTTCACAAATCAGTCTGGTGTAAATGATTAGCGTAGACATAGAGCAATTTTAGGGTAACTCAAGGTGCACATTCCCATCATAAACAACATTTATCCACTGCGTATTCAGTGGTTCAGTTGCCTGGAGTCTAATCCTCACTCTTACATCCAACAACACCACACCTGACTTTCTTACTATGAAACTGAGACATTTTTCTTATCACCACAGCTGCTCCAGGTCGTAGAAAATGGCGGACTGTGTACAGCTCACTGAGGGCAGAATTCGTCAGCCGTTGTGGGCGGGGCCTAGACATGTTATGACGTCACAAAGGTAAAAACGGCTTGTTTTGAGACTTTATAGGTTTCGAATTTTTACCAATATGGGATGGTTATGTACACATACTGCTGCACATTTATGTTCAAACACAATGTAAAAAAGTGAAATCCTTTGCTTGGTAAGGATTTGAACTGTATAGTGAATTTTTGGTCTCGGATTAAACTCAAAAATAAAACCAAATATTTAATCAATATTCAATTAACATTTACACATCAAAAGTTTCAATTAAATTCAGTGTGAATGTTTTTTTTTTTTGTTTCTTTGACAGTGTTTGTGATGATGTGCAGGAACAGTCTGTCTGAAGTAGTAGACTACTGTGTGTGTGTGTGTGTGTGTGTGTTAAGAATCATGCGGTTCACTCAGGTGTACTGGTTGATTTTCCTCCTTCCTCTGTTCCTCCTTTTTCTTTTTTCTTCCTCTACACATCATCATTCCCTCTTTTACCCACCTAAAACACACACACACACACACACACACACACACTTGACCATTCAGTCTATAAATAGGACTAGTGATCAGTAATACATGACATTTCTCTTCCTTCCTACTGTCTGTCCTCTCAGGTCTCTTTTTCCCATTTTTTTTTTCTTTTTTTCCTCACCGTCCTCTTTTTATGTCTGTCTGTTTCTATTTTTTCTCTCCCTCCCTTCATCCCATACTCCCACCACTGTGATTTGTCGATCCATAGCTGAGTATTATTGATCCGGATATTGAATAAAAATGCTCTCTTGTGGCTGGTCCCGGTCTCATCGCTGCTTTGTGAAGTGGGGTCAAATAGCTCTACCCACAATGCTCTCTGTCGCTCTGAAGCAGCCTTGTTTAAGACAAAAATAAAAAAAACAGTGATCCTGAAAAACAAAAAAATAATAATAATTTGAAGGGAATTGTTGGGGTTATGTGGAACAAACTTCTATATTCTGTTAAACAAGTTGCTTCGCTTCCGGTTCAGGTTAAGTTGTTATGTTGTGCTTTGTTAAAGGGTGGAGTGAAGTTAAAAGCCCTTTTGGGGTAAAATGCCCCCTTAATGTTTTTCCCAAAATAACCACTATAAAGTCAAGATACGTTTTTGTTGTTTCAATGGACTACATGATGAGAGTGATGATTCACCTTGAAGCACAAACACCCACTAGTGAGCTTATCACAGAGTAATGGATAGCATCCCTTCTCTCTGCTGGGATATTTTTAAGGACTCTTTTGCTACAGAGTTCAATGAACTGTGTTTTAGCACTTATGAGCTAATTGAGAGTTTTTTTTGTCTTATTTTCTCATGTAAAAGGGGATCAAAAATAAAATATCCTTGCAGAGAGAAGGGATGCTATCTATTACTCTGAAATATGCAACTAATCACCAGATATCACAATGTGCTTATGGTGAGATATGTGTATAAAGTCAAGGAGAATGGTTTGGGGAAGACTGTTGAGAGGTTTATTCAGTTTGTAGACTTCCGTAAAAAGACTGGCAGTGAAATCTCTGAGATGATTGAACTAGCATTGAAAAACAGTGATATATCATTATGAGACTGTAGAGGACAAGGGTATGATAATGGAGCCAACATGTGTTACCTGGAATGGAAAAGTCTTGCAGTGACAGATGTTGGAAGTCACCTCAAAAAACAGTTATTGCAAAAAGTAGAAAAAAATAAAGCAATTCTGGCTTTTGGATGTGAGGCTTTTGGTTCAAAAAATTTTGGAGTAAAAGTTCCCAGACGTGTTTGTGTGGAATACTCCTGTCCAATAAGTATCCTCATTTTCATCAGCAATGCTCATTTCCTCACATAATCATTTTGTAGTCATTTGTTCACATCATCATCAATACTGTACTCCTTATACCACCGTTGACACATGCACACACAAACACTGTTGTGTGGGGACACCTGTGTGTTGTTGGCCACCTGAGGGGCTTTGATACACGCTGGGCTTTAATCTCCACACTGGGCTCTTGTGCCTTTGAAGTGTTAATCTGAGGCACCTTCCCTTCCTCCTCACAACACGGACACACATCCATGGTCAGCCTGTGGTCAGGCCTTCTTGGAGCCAGCTGGCCTGTTTGCAAACCCACACACATGCTCACACAAAATACAAGGATACACACCACCTGTTATTGGAGCAATGTTGGAAACACCTGTAGCGCCTCTAGTAGGATGTTGGAGCCTTTCCTGTAGTTTATGTGTTTACATTGTGGTACAATGGTACTGTGTTTTTTGGACATATACCACCGCAATATTGTAGTCTTCTTTGAAGTTCCTCGGAGTATGATAATCATTATGCTTCATGATATTGCAGAAATCACAGTCCTTTTTTGGTGAAATGTGCATTCAAAGTTTAAAATAATTGAATCTTTTTATCAAACATTTTTGCTGCTATATCCCTTACAAAAAGCTAGCACCATGGTCAGATGATTGTATCAGAGGGTAATAGAGAGCCTAAGTCCCTCCCCTTTCGGTCGACCACCATGGGACCTTATTTTGGAAAAATATTGTATGGTAGTCAATGGCGAGAGACAACAAATATTTTGATCTCGTTTGAATTGTGCCCTGAATTACACATATGATGTTTGTCAATTAAAAGATACATTTTAAAGTAAAGAAGGTCGCAGTTTGATGTAAAACCGTTGAGGTATAAGACTGTGGAAATACAAAGACTACAAACCCCAAAGGCGCACATTTTCTCTCAATGAATGAAGCTAACTTTACTGAGGTTAATGTCTATCATTGTTTCTATAGTCTTACGTTATAATCTTAACGTTACGCCGTCATACCTGAGTGCTTTGTACCAGACTGCACACACACAAGCAACGGATCTCACTCGTTGTTTTGCTTCCCGGGAGATGTAGTTCATTGAGCGATTTTCACATACAACTAAATGTTACTCTTCTGTTTTATGATAAACTGTGATGTTTTTGACTTTCAGAATTATCTTTTAAATTGACAAACATCGTATGTGTAATTCAGGGCACAGTTCAGATGGAATAAAAAGATAAGTTGTCTCTCGCCATTGACTACCATTCATATTTTTTCCCGAAATTAGGTCCCATGAGCCGGAAGCGGGGGGGCGGGACTTAGGCTGTCTATACTTGATAAATAAAAAAGTCGCTGTTTGGGTTTAAAAAGGCAAATGCTTAAGAGTCTATAAATGGATCATTATTGCAGGGATTATTATGTTTTATAGCATGTTATATGTTTGGCGACAGTTCTTCTAACCCTAATTGATAGAGTGTGTAGCTTTTAATTTCTTAAACAACCATGTTGGAAGACACATCATGCCCATAATCATTCCAGGATTACAATGTCAAGTTTCATCAGGCTCAAATTGTGAAAGAATGAAGAATTATTTTCACACATGAATTGGCACCTCTGAGTCCAAACCCTAAATCCATTGAAAGTCTTTGGGATGTGCTGGAGTAGACTTTACAGAGTGCTGGACTCTTGCATTGTCAATACAAGATTTTGACCAAATTATGCACCTCTTGATGAAAATAAAGGTTATGATGTTATTTAATGTTGTAAGTGGAAAGTCTAAAAGTGCTTCAAATTGATGGTTTTCTGTTTGTTTGTTTGTTGTTGTTTTTTACAGAAAGAACAAGAATAAGGAATTTTGTTTGGACTTTGCAGTATGTGCACTTGCGTGTACTTACCTATGACAAAAAACTCTGTAAAATAAGGTAACTACATGGATAAAGGTTAGGTTTAGGGGTAGGATCAGGTTTAGTACCTAGTTATTACCCAGTTATTGCAATTACTATAATAAGTACATATTATGCACATGGGGAACAGGACGAAATTGTCCACTTTAGTGGATGTCAGGTCAAAGAGATGAGATGTTTGTTTGAGAAAGGAATGAGAAAGCGAGAGGATATTTATAGTTAAATGTTTAGGATGGAAACATCTACGTTGGAATTAAATAGATGCTCTCTGTTTGTCTTTATGCTAACCAGCCTCTCTGCAGATGAAAGAAGAGAGTGAATCTGCAAGGTGGTTGTCACAGGCCTTTTCTTTGCCCTGGAGGACCTGTGTGGTTGCTATAGAAACTAGGTCAGGGCTGCTGCATCCAGGGAGGCAGAATGTGTGAGTGGTGTGACAGGTGTATGAAGAGGTGATGAGGAAAGGAGGGGTCGAGGTAAAGCGGAAGGAAGACTGACAAGGATGTGAGATGAAAAAGCGTGTTCAAGTGCCGTCAATTGACTAAACATGGATTGTTTGTTTAAATTAAACCCCATACTGCTACAAATATCTGCCAAATCAGGTCATAAATGACAGATTTCAGGGAGGGAATTATTTTGAATGTATCCGCATGAACAGTAGACTGTCTGTTTAGAGTCCAACAGCAATGGGACATTTAACCGTTTGTATCACTTCGCTTGTATTTGCACGTTCCAGATACACTGCATTAGTGATGTGGATTTATTTATTATTTACTTTTTCTGTAGGTTAGGTTAGTGATTGTCTTTGAAGGAATCATTAATTCATTGAAACCATTTGGCTCCAAAGTATTAGCCTGGTATGCCAGCCCTACATCAGGATGTTAGGTCTGGGAACTCACCATTGACAGGGCTCAATACGAGGGGCGGGATAAACGGTTGTCTTTCAAATTCCCTCTGCACGCAATAGGATAGCGCTACAACCAACCAGAGCAACGAAGAAGATGTCACAGTCAGAGCGATCTCACACACAGAACACATCTCCCTTTTTTTTAAATGACTCAAGTGCCGTTCTTTGTTCACGTTTCAAAGAAAAGCTTAACTTTAAATCATCCAGAGTCGCGGCCAAAGCCGAATCGAAAGACAGAATCTTTGTTTTCAAGTAGGGAACCGTCCCATCTCTGTCGTCATTATGTTAAGCTGACTCTATATCCGCCGACTCTATATACGATGTGATTGGCCGGACTAGAGTTTGGTTTTTCCAGCTCGAAAGAGAGTTGCTTGACTACACTGGAGGCAAAATAATTTTTGCAGCCACCAGTAGGAGTCTAGATTTCTAGGCTACCAAAATACTGATT